CTACCTATAATTATTATACTCGTAATAAAGAGGTAAAATTTTTTTGTTTAAATGTTTACCGTGGGGTGGCGGAGAAATAAGTGGCTTCTAAAAAATGTAATATTGGTTATACATATTATTATAATTGCAATACCTATAATTTTTTGTAGAAAATACATTATTTTATTTTACATTTTCAAACTGAAATATCACAGAAAGTATATCATTTACGACCTTTTTTCAAAAAATATTTGTTGTTTGTAATTATGAATATTATTTGTCGATTGGCGTACGATGTACACCAAAATATGACATTTTAGGTACTTAAAATTAACCTAAAGGTTTAGTTTCTTGCAGATTTTATTGATTTACAAAAATTGATTAGTACAAAATGTCTGAAAACGTTGAGAAAAAAAAAGAAACCATCTGGGTCAGAATATAGAAAACGAGAAAGAGAAGAAATTTCAGAGAACAAAAAAGTTCATGAATATATGTAGATAAATATATCACAACAAAAAATGAAGACCTGAATATGCCATCTGGAATACAAATTAATGTATCGGTAGCGGAACCTGAAAAGTCAAATCAGATAACTGAAAATTGTGTTGAAGAGATTGTGGACAAAGTTTCCCAAAGTGAGATGATAAGCTGTGATGCAATTACAAATGCTGCTCCGGATGACTCCATTGGTGATGTACAACCAATACAAATTCCAGATGACGTTAGTACTGTTGTCGCCAATATATCGGATCCTGCCACTTGGCCAGTCACTCGAAATGGCAAAATCATTGATCATATAATTACTAGTGGCCAAGTGCAAACTCGCATTGATAATTATCCGAAGAATGATACAGCCCGACATTTCTCTAATTCCCATTCCAAAAAAAATCTTGCAAACAATGAAACAATTCAGCGCCGTTGGTTAATTTACTCCGTTTCTAAGGATCTAGTTTATTGTTTTTGTTGTAGACTATTTGATAGTAGTTCAACGTCGAACTTAGTATCTGAAGGGTATAGCAACTGGAAACACTTCATAAGAAGTTTTACCTTTCATGGACTGATGCTGAACTACGATTAAAAATAGGGAAAACAATAGACTGCCAAGAGCAACACTTGATTAGAAAGAAAACTACAAGCTTTAATAATGTTTTGTCTAGATTGATGCATATCACACTTTATTTAGCCGAAAACAATATGGCGTTCAGATGTTCCGATAAACTATATACGCCAAATAACGGAAAGTTCTTAGGCTTAGTACAACTACTAGCCAAATTTGATCTAGTCCTGCAGGAGCACTTGCGATTAACTATGAAGGGTGATATTTCAGACCACTACTGTGGAAAAGACAATCAAAATGAATTAATAGAGCTGATGGGTGAAAAAGTGAAGTCAGAAATCATATTACACACAAAGAAACTAAAATATTATTCTATTATAGCTGACTGTACTCCTGACATTAGTAATGTAGAACAACTTTCGTTGTTGTTTCGTCATTACGATTTGTTCATTTATCAGACGATAATGAAAAAGTATCAGTAAAAGAGCATTTCTTGGAATTTATACTTGTAAATGAGTCAACTGGTGAAAGATTGACTGAAGTTATTATTAATGTTTCAAATTACGGACTAGAATTGAACGATTGCAGGGGTCAGGGCTATGACAACGGAGTAAATATGAAATAAAAAAATATTGGGGTTCAAAGGAGAATTCTCGACATAAACCCCTTATCTGTTTATGTGCCGTGTCGCTGTCATAGCTACAATCTAGTACTAGGCGATGCCGCTAAGTCATCCGTAGGATCAGTCACTTTGTTTGGGGTACTTCAGAGGTTGTTCACATTGTTTTCAGCTTCTGTTCATCGATGGAAAATTCTAACCGATCACACACGTTGTGAAGCAAGGATAAGTAGTGCTAAAGCAATCCTTTATCAAATTAGTACTATCCATGATGCTTTGATTACTTTGGCTCTTGAAACTCAGGAAACTGATGTTCAAGTGTCTCATGAGGCTACTACTCTGGCCGAACAGCTAAAAGATTTCAGCTTCATAGTTTCATTGGTTGTTTGGTATGACATACTTTATCAAATAAATATTGTAAGTAATTGAACCTGTATTTCGAGCTACAACTGCACGCGTGGACCCTATAATTTCTCCAGAAAAAAAATTTTGAGGTTGAATTTTTCAACTGTCTTTCCAGTCAATGAAAGGTTCAAACAGTTAAATGAGTACTCGGAATCTTGATCTTTTTTGTACAATTTTAACACATTTTTGTTTTAAATTTCATCAAAGATTGCAACTTACAAGAACTGTATCCAAATGTATGGATATCATTGCGAATATTATTAACTATACCTGTAACGGTTGCTAGTGGGGAGCGGAGCTTTTCAAAGCTGAAGCTGATAAAAACCTATCTTCGATCAACAATTTCTCAATCTAGATTGGCAAAGTTAGCAACGAGTGGGTTTGAATTGCAGTTGGAGGGCGCCGTAGAAATCTCGCCCAGGGCGCTGGTAGTATTAAAACCGGCACTGCCTTCATCTAACCACTGTGTGACTTGCTTATCTATAATTCGTTGCTCCTCATAACATACACCTCGTCGGTAAGAATAATTTTCATATTCACCGGTGAACTATTGTCTTTCTTTGGTATATACTGTTCTATCATTTGCTTCACCACCTCTGCTAATTTTTTGTTCAAATGAGTTAAATCATAGTCTTGTTCATTCATATCAACGTTAAAACATAAATTTGAAAAAATATTAGTCATCGTCGTTTGTTAAGTTATATTTGACTCTCATTATATCATTAATCGGCACAGACATCTTTAAATACAACCCCATTTTCACGAACCAACATAGCGAAATGTTTCAATATTAAATTACCCGGAATCACTTCGTAACTAATGTCATTTGTTGCTACTACATGAAACGTCAGGTCAACAATACTCTGGTCAATTTGTACTTTATATCAAAGCTTCCTATTGTTGATATTTTCGCTGCATCAATACCAAATAACTGCTTTTGTTCCGTTGTTAGCTTTATATATCTGTCCAATTTATTAAATGTGTCGTATCTCATTAAACACAAATTACAACCAGTATCGATAAGCGCGCCCACTTCTACATTACAAATTCGTTTATTTTTAAATTTTAAATTAAATCTTGCAAGTTCGTCAATTGAATTTACACGACTGTGTTCCCGCTCAGTGTTCCCACCTTTTATTACTTTACACTCAAAAGATCTATGTGCTATCTTCTGGCACTTAAAGCATTTGAATTGCTTC